GAAGGCGGCCGCGGCGGCGCCGCGAGCCCGGCACGGCGCGGGGAGCCGCGCGGCTCCTCTCAGCACAGGCGCGGGTCTCTCGGTGACAACGACAGGAGCTTGCTGGGAACAGCAGAGCAGCGCGCGGCACCATAAACAGCAAAAGCACTGGGTATTTTAGGTGTTTTTATTTTGTTGCACATTCTGAAATGCATTTAGGACTCTTGCAGGGATGAGGTGGTTTTGGCAGCAAGGGCACGCTCAGCCCACACGAATCGCAGCAACGCTCTCTTCCAGCTCCAGAAGGCTCATTTGCTTGTTTGGTTTGCATTGCTCTTCTGGTAGCACCTACCTTTGTTTCAACTTGCATTAACTTTCCAGGGCTGAATTGGAAAGATCAGAAGGATACTTTTCCTGAACACCGTAGACAGCAAACGCCTTTTCTCTGGTTATGTAAGGCATCTGCTTTCATGAAATAACGACTTAAAATATATTAGAAAAACACCCTGACTCAGCTTCCTCTCAGGATAGCTCCTCTCTTGGTTGTCTCTGAATCACGGATTTTGCCATTTGCCAACGCTGAGCTTCCACGGGAGTCCAGCCCGTGCCTTGGTTTTGTCCTCAGCCAGGAGCGCCTTGCTGCTAAAAAGCTCCTAGACTGACATCTGGTGGAAATGCCTCAAAGTGCCAGATCTCAGCCCAAACGGGAACTCGCTGTGGCCAAAACCACCTTGGGTTATTTTGCCTTCAAAATATCGCCCCATCCAGGCTATTGCTCCTGGTTCCATCACAGCTGCGAAGCCGGGGGCACAAGCACGGGCGCTGCGCTTCACCCCTCCATCCTGCACGTTGTAACACACGGCCTCGCTCTGCTGTAAAGCCACACGGTATTTTCTTGCTCTGTAGAGATGGGGTTGTTTATACAAAAGAGGAGATTTTGACAGAATGTCAAGCAGGAATACCTTGAAATATACTGAGGTAGCAACTGTTCTGGTTGTCAGGTATCTGGACTGGGCAAATCCTGCTGAGCTTTGCTGCATTGCTCTAATTTTAAGAGATTTGGTCATGTAAATGCCTCTTGTCCCTGTCCAGCACCCGAGGGTGTGGGACAGCTGCTCGGCACATCCCGTGCAGGTGCCTGGCTTTATTCTCCACTCCAGGTGGCTGGTGAAAAGGTCTTCACTGCTCAGAAAGGCGCTGTTCCAGAACTGCCATTCCGTGAAGACTGGCCCATTCCTGCCCCTGGTGCGACAGGATCACTTCCTTGCAGGGTTTACTGACCCCGGCCAGCTCTGCCAAGACGCCCTGGAAAGCGGTGACGAGCTCAGCATCCACGGAGGCCGGGCTGACCCGGGCCAGCGTGGCGGCGAGGCCGTGCAGCCAGCGCGCGTCCAGCGCGGCGCGCGGCAGCCAGGGCACAAGCCGCCCCGCGCACCGTGCGCCTCACCGAGGAGGCGGAGGGCGGCTCCGAAGAACTCCTGGGCTTCCCGGGTACCCTGCAGGACTGAGAGAAACGGGAGTGAACCGAGAGGAGAGGCCCTCCTGGGGTTCAGCCTGAGGAAAAGCTTTTGGGGGAAAAAACCATATGCTCCTGCTCTAGAGATCTCCGAATCCACACTGCTTCCCAGCTCACTGCTCTGCTCAATTTTCTCTTTTGGGCTTTGTTTTTATCACTTTACTGAAGACAGAAGCTCCATGCAAAACTGGAGCCGATTCCCTTGTCTCTGCTCTATTTAAGCCAAGCACTCGGGCCCAGTCTCTGTCAGGAACAAGAGCAGTAGGCAACCCTGACAGGGACAGGGATTCTTCTTACCTGCTGGACTTGCCAGGATCCTGGCCATCATCAAGCCCAGAGTGGCAATGTTGGCTGCGAGAACCAGATGATCGTTCTGGGGTAGCAGAAGTGGCAGAGACTTCAACAGCAGGTCCATCAAAGAGGAAAAGCATCTGTCTCGCCTAGAGGAAAAGCAAACCCAAACCCTGAGACACATTTCCTGAGCAGAGCCAGGAGCACCTGAAAATGTCAAGGTTAAGCGTAGCGGCAAAAAAGTAACGTGATTGGGGCTGAGAACAGGGATGTCCCTTTTTCAGCAAAGTTCATGTCCTAAAGGATCGAGCAGACTCACTTCACCCTGACAATCTTCAGACAAGCTCTGGCAGCTCTGGGCCTGTTACCTGACAAGGTCTGGGGCAGTCACGACGAGGTTCAGGAAGATCCCACACAGTGTCTGCAGGCTCATTTCCGTGCTCGGCAGCGGAGCCGGGGAGCCGAGTTCGGGGAGCAGCAGCTGCCACTGCTGCAGGAAGTACTCGCACAGCAGGGCTGGGGCCCCTTCGCAGATGAGGATGTCCCGGGGCTTGTCCTCTGCTGTTAAATGGCAAAAGCCAGGGAGCAGAAATCTGGAAAGGGAAAGGGAGTGGAAATACAAGGAAGATGGCAGAGATCTGGGTCTGAGCCCTGCAGTTCCATGCAACTGAGGGGAAAGGAGTACCCAGAGCTGGAATTGCAGAGAGAATGGAGAACAGAAAGCTCAGTTGAGCCTGTTTGTGCTGAAATACCTCAGGCAGCAGCATGTGCCGGCTCTGTGCTTGGATACTTACCTCAGAGCATCCCGGGGTACGCGTGCGCCCCCGGAGCTGTCGAGCCCTGCTGGCATCCCATCAGGCTGGGCAAGGTTTGCAGCTGTCTCTCCCTCTTGGAAAAGCTTCCTGGCATAATGAACCAGGAAAGGCAGCAGCTCACAGATTTCCTGCTTGAGGAAGGATGTCTCTTCTGCCATCCAGGCTCCAAGGATTCGAACAGAAGCAAATATAAAAGGGTCATCTAGCTCCTCCTGCTTAACCTGCATCAGGAAGAAAGCAGACGGAAAATGAGACATTAGGGCCACTGTCCTCAGCAGCTACGGCAGGGATGAGAACTCCAGTGTGAACTGCCACAAAACCTGTCCTTTGCTTTGAAAAACAAACTATGTCCATGCTCTGCATTACCTGTCTCAAGTAGAATATTACAGCGCCAAATGCCTCCTCCATGATCCTCAAGAGCTGCACTTTCTGCACTTCTTCTAGCAGTGGCTTCTCTTCATTCAGGCACTCCTGGATCCCCATCTCAATAAGGACGTAACAGGCTGTTATCACTTCTTTCCTGCCCTCCACACCCACGGGATCTGGCTCCTCCAGAATCAGGCGGACCTCCACACACGCCAAGTTCACCAGCAAGGCCAAGAACTTGCTTCCAGCCCGCCCCGCTGGGATCCAGTCTGACCCGCAGGCCTGCACGAGGCAGGCAGCAAGCTTCAGCGCAGGGTCCCGCTGGCACTGGCTGAGTTTGCTGCCCAGGATGTTGGCCAGCCCTTTGTAAAGCCTGCGGAGGCACTCGGAGCCCTGCGCATCCTGCGTGAGCGGCGGTGACAGCGGGATGAAGTGCGGCAGAACCTCGCACAGCTCAAATTTGGCAGCATCCTCCGTGTTG